TAACCAGGCACAGCAGATGTGCACATCTGATAGACTGCTTAGAACATGAAAACCATCCGAGCTATGAATAAGGGATACATAAATATGAGCATAGCAATGCCAAAGCATTGGAACCATGGGTAAGATGTGATGTAAACACATCTGCTGGTTCTCTCTGCAAGCCACTTCCCACTGATTTATAAAGCTATGGCTTTTTCATTCTTTTAAAAAGGCAATTTTTCTACACTGCTGCATGCAGTAATGACTACAATGCAATCTTCAAATCCTCTCGCAGGGCTTGACATATCTCATCAGAATTTCTCCAGAAAGTCAGCTTGTCATATTTTCAGCAGCCTTAATTCAAATGCAATTTTTCTTGTCCCATTCCATTTTCATATAAATTTTGGAAGTCCTTCTCCAACATACAGTGAAACACGTATTTTCACCTCCAGTACTTCAGTTGCCTTGAGAAGCTCCGTAATAACCAAAGATAAAGCTTAATTCCTTGTTCACGAAGCCGTACGCAAATAGACAGTTTCCATATCTAAGCTAGTATTCAAAATCCTTGAAATCTCAAGCAGAACGTGTGACTAATACAGGCTGAACACTCCTAATCCCAAAATCTGAAAAGTGAAATGCTCCAAAATCCGAAACTTTTTAAGCACCCACGTGACATCACAGTGGAAAATTCCACACCTCATATGATGGCTCAAAGTCAAAAGGCAGGTGCACAACACAGTTTATTCAGCATCCCGTCCCCGGTCTCCCGAACTGCATTCAGACTCGTGCCCCTGCTACTCACCGTGGCTGAGGCTGAAGGAGGCCTGTTTTTCTTTTAAAGCAGAAAAAGATTGACTTTTGAAGGCCTCTTAGAAGTCCCCGACTCTGAAAATTGTTTGAGAGGAATTTATTTTAAATAGTGCCAGAAGGTGGCGTATTTCCTAGCATTTGTTTCAAGCTGAGAAAAATCAGAGCCAGCGATGAATATATGAAAATAAGAAATGGCTACCTTTTCTCTCTCTCTTTCCGTTTCTTTCTTTCTCTTTCCTTCCTTCCCTCCCTCCCTCCCTCCTTCCTTCCTTCTCTTTCTCTTTCTCTTTCTTTCTTTCTTTTTTGAGATAGGACCACACTCTGTCACCCAGGCTGGAGTGCAGAGATACCATCAGAGCTCCCAGGCTCAAGTGATCCTCCCACCTCAGCCTCCAGAATAGCTGGGACTACAGGCATGTGCCACCATGCCTGGCCAATTTTTGTATTTTTTGAAGAGACAGGGTCCTGGACTGAAGTGATAGGCCCACCTCAGCCTCCCAAAGTGCTGGAATTACAAGTGCCGCAGTGCCCAGCCTGCCTTTTCTTGTTTATAAGAATACAAGTAGAAAAATCTTTGTCATTTCCTTTTCTCCTCAGTGAGAGTTTATATTTTGTATTAAACAGCTAAAGAATTCCTAATTTTACTTTTTTTATAATAAAATTTATCTGATTAAAATTCCAACCCATTGCCAGTCTTCACATCATGGGATGTCTCAAGAGCTGTGGTCAAGCACCTAAACCTCAGGGGACCAGAAAGCACCTAAACCCCAGGGGACCAGAAAGCACCTAAACCCCAGGGGACCAGAAAGCACCTAAACCCCAGGGACCAGAAAGCCACGTGCATCTTCATAGTGTGCTGCCAGTCATACGATGTCATGGCTTGTGTGCTTGGATTTTATGTTGCTTCAGTGCTTCTCAAAATTTCCCAGATGGGACCAGAGATTTCAACTTAGCCTGGAACCAGTATCTACAGCCACCCTGTCTGGCTCCCCAGAGAATGTCCAAGGTTGTGGAAGACCTGGTTCTCTGCTTCTCTGCACGTGGCTTTCTGGTCCCCTGGGGTTTAGGTGCTTGACCACAGCTCTTGAGACATCCCATGATGTGAAGACTGGCAATGGGTTGGAATTTTAATCAGATATATTTTACTACGAAAAAAGTAAAAGTAGGAATTCTTTAGCTCTTTCATACAAAATTCAAACTCTCACTAAGGAGAAAAAGAAATGACAAAGATTTGTATGGAATTTGCATATTCTCCCCATATCTGCATGGATTTTCTCCAGGTACACCCCCCACATTCCAGAAATGTGCATGTGAGCTGACCTGGCATGTCTCCATGGTCCCAGTGTGAGTGAGTGTGGGTTGTGAGTGCGAGTGCCCCTGACATGGATGGTGGTCTGTGCAGGGTGGGTTCGTGCCTTGCGTCCTGAGCTGCCAGGGGAGGCTCCTGCCACTCACCACACTGAACTGGAATAATTGGGGAATTAATTATCTTACTTGTTGTTACCGGTCTTTCTTACATGTGTCTGTGGCTTACATTTATTTCAGTGTTTAGTATTAGAAGTGTTTGATCTTTATTTAATAGCTTGGTGATATTTTTGTGACCAGAAGTATACCATAGGAACTTAACTCTTGCTCATTTCAATTAGCCTATGGTAAAGTTAGTTTCCTTATACATCCCTTTGCTTAAAGTGGCAGTTTCCAAGAATCTATCGACTACTTTAAGTGAAGACTTACTATCTCAATAAATTTCAACATATGTGTCTTAGTCAGCTTGGACTGCCATAACAATAAAACATACACTGGGTCAGGCATGGTAGCTCACATCTGTAATCCCAGGATTTTAGGAGGCTGGGAGTTTGAGACCAGCCTAGTCAACATAGTGAGACCTCATCTCTTAAAAAAATAAAATAAAAAGAGTGGATGGCCTAAACAACAGAAATTCGTTTCTCAGCCTCTTGGGAGGCCGGAAAGTCTAAGATCAAGGCAGCATCAAGTTAGGTTTCAGTCGGATATCTCTACTCTTGGCTTGTAGGTGGCCACTATCTCACAGAGTACTCACATAACCCCTTCTTTATTTGAGCAGGGAGAGTGAGCAAGATCTCTGGTATCTCTTTTTAGGACGGCGCTAATCCTGTTCTGTCAGAGCTCTACCCTTATGACTTCATGTAACCTTAATCACGTTCAAGTCCCTTTGTCTGATAGAGTCACGTGTATTGGAGGGGTTGAGGCTTCAATATATGAATTTTAAAAATAAATGTTAGTAATATAAACATGATTATGAATATAAACAATTCATTCCATAGCAGTGACTAATTTTTAAAGGAGAATAAAGTTATATATATATATTTTTTTTTCTTTTTTACTTAAGTTATATAACTCAATACACAAATCAAAATAAAGAATTAAAGAACATTTTAGATAATTTAGGAGAATGACTTAATGTAGATCCTTTGGAACTTTTCCCTTACTGGAACATAAGTTCCATGTGGGCAAAGGTTTTTGTCTTTTCTGTTCATTGCTAAATTCTCATGCCTAGAACAGTGAATAGCTCATAACTGACGTTCAGTATTTACTGAATACATGATTGAATGTTTTCTTTCCTTTTTTGAAGCAAGGAGGCCCTGGGTCAGAGCTTAGGAGCCACGGATCACTAAGACAGATTGCCTCAATTGAATCTTGGCTCTATCACTTACTGCTTTTTACCTCGAACAAGTTACTTTAGCTCTCTGTGCCGTAATTTTCTCCTCCACAAAATGAGCATTTTAAGGTGGTAAGAATTAAATGAATTAATACGGTAAAACCATTTAGAACAGTATTTAATACATAGTACATAGAATTAGGTAGGTTGAAGTTGGTTATAAATGTTAGATATTATTTTGCATATATAGCTAATTCTCCTTTCTATGTATGTGATTTTAATCTAAGAAAATATTCTGTAAAGTCAATAATATGGGACTTTTTTTGCCTTTTCTTTCAGGAAGAAAAATTGAGGCATGGAGATAGAAAGCCTGTAAATGTGATAGCCAAGGGCTGGATCCCACTGGATTAGGAGGACGATATGCTTGCCTTTTCCTGCGATTGTTCATTAACTGGAGTTTTCGTTCTTCACTTAATCAGTGGTTCCTAAGCTATGAATCTAGGTTGAGCCCCACATTCCCTATGTGCAAGCAACATTATAAAATCTCTAACGTGGAAATATACAGTCACCTAATTTTTGGATCCTGTTATTATTATTATTATTTTGAGACAGAGTTTTGCCCTTGTTGCCCAGGCTGGAGTGCAATGGCGCGATCTCCACTCACTGCAACCTCCGCCTCCCGGGTTCAAGCGATTCTCCTACCTCAGCCTCCCTAGTAGCCGGGATTACAGGCGCCTGTCAGCATGCTCTGCTAATTTTTACTAGAGAGGGTTTTCTCCATGTTGGTGAGGTTGGTCTCAAACTTCTGGCCTCAGGTGATCCGCCTGCCTCGGCCTCTCAAGCTGGGTTTACAGGTTTGAGCCACCGCGCCCGGCCCTGTTACTACTTTTAAAATACAAACTTGGCTCGGCACGGTGGCTCACGCCTGTAAACCCAGCACTTTGGGAAGCCGAGGCGGGCAGATCACGAGGTCAAGAGATCGAAACCATCCTGGGCAACATGGTGAAACCCTGTCTCTTCTAAAAATACAAAAATTAGCTGGGCCTGGTGGCTCACGCCTGTACTCCCAGCTACTCCGGAGGCTGAGGCAGGATAATCGCTTGAACCCAGGAGGTGGAGGCAGCACTCTAGCTGGCAACAGAGCAAGACTCCGTCTCAAAAAAAAAAAAAAAAAAAAAAATTGTCCTCTCCTTTAGTCATTAGGTATTTTCTGAAGGAATAAAAGCTGAAAGTATAGCAACTACACCCAGACTCTTGTAAATTTTTGGATGATGAAAAAGAGAGTTTTTATTTTTTTAAAAATCAGACAGCAGTGCTTTAGGGGTTTCTAATATATATTGCAATTGTAATTTCACATGCAATATGTTGTAAATCTTGATCGCTTAATCAGAATCGTAGAGAATCTCTCTTCTAGATTTGCAGTTAACTGTGAAAACCAAAAGCTTCACCTTTGGCTGATGGTGGGTGGAGGGGCTGGAGGCTGCCGCAAGGCAAACTACGACTCCCAGGATTCTTTGGTGGTCGCTCCTGAAAGTTGTAGTTTATTCCCGCCTTGGCCCCTCCCTCCTTCCGTCCCACCGTCTGCACCCACGCTCTGGGCTCGCGATCTGGATAATTACGGCGCGAGGGCGGTAGTCTCGTGGCAGTTTCATTCTCGCTTTTTTCATTTTTCTCATTTAGCTCAGTTATGTCTTTTTAGTCCATTGTTTCGCATGCTCGAGGACTACTCCTCCGGAGAGCGGTAGTGGCGGAGGAGGGGCTGGGAGCATGTGTTAACCCGGAAGAAGTGAACCAGGAAGTGAACGTGCTCTCGGGTTAGTCGGGCTGAAATGGGGCGGGTCTCGGAAGGTTCCGGCCTCAGTAAAGAGAGCTCACGTCCATTCTTCTTTTTCTTAGGTACTCACAGTTCTTTCCTGATCTTCCCCGCCGCCTCCCGTATCGCCTCTTTATGGACTCACTCCATATACTGAGTTACACAGCATGGTTTGCCTGTGCCGCTGCCCCGCGGGCTGTCACTTCTGACCTGCCGACGCTCGGAACATTCCCTAAAGCACCAGAGTAATACTGTGACTGGGATCGGTAATGGCGAAGCCGTGCTGTTCTCAGGTGTAGTTAATCTTGGAGAGTAAACATCTTGTTTTTTTTTTTTTTTTTTCTTTAATGTTAAGATTCATGACCTTGAAAGTGATTCATTCTACTAGTGTTCCTAAAATGGAAATTTTAGCAATAGGTATTCGTACAGACATGTATTTATTAGTCTTTATTCTGCCTGGTAGCAAGTGGACACTTTCTCTAACATGCTTGACATATTGGGGCGATGGAGTGTAACGTTTGTGACAGCTGGCCATTGGTGCTTTCTTCCACATGGCTTTTAATAATGTGATGCAGTATCCTAAAATCTATCAGTAGAACCCTGGAAACTTTGAATATTTTAAAGACCATTCTGAATATTTTATTTCCTAGGTGATAATGCTGAGTTAACCGACTTAGAGTGATTAAATGACCTAATGTATCAATGCACCTCCTTGCATAGTAGGATCACTGGAGACAGTAAAGGTTGCTTTTCATCAATTTTGACCCTTCTTTTTTTGAGTTGGAGTCTCACTATGTTGCTCAGGCTGGCCTTGAATCCTGGGCTCAAGGGATCCTCCTGCCTCAGTCTCCTGGGTAGCTGGGACAATAGGTGCATGCTCCTGTGCATGGCTCGACCCTTATTTCAACTTTGAACCTCGGGGTTTTAGGGGCAAAGTGTTTTCCTTGGAACACTATATTTTCTCTTTCTTAGTAAGACCATTGTGTGCTTTTGTTAGCTCTTGATTATCTCTGTTGGAGGGGAGGAGAACAGATAATTATTGTACACAGCCAATTTCACATAACCTGTAATTTTTTAAACTAACCTTTTTTTTCTGATTGTGAATGTAATGCATGCTATATGTGCAGGAGACTTGGAAAACACTGAAAAGTAGAAAAAAATCGCAAGCAAAATATATTCATAATCTCACAACTAGAAATCATTTTATTAACATTTTGGTATGTTTCTTTTTTTTTTTGAGATGGAGTCTTGTTTTATCACCTACACTGGAGTGCAGTGGTGCGATCTTAGCTCACTGCAACCTCCACCTCCCAGGTTCAAGCAATTCTCCTGCCTCAGCTTTCCAAGTAGCTGGGACCACAAGCACGTGCCATCACCCCTGGCTAATTTTTTTTTCGGTATTTTTATTAGAGACGGGATTTTCCCATGTTGCCAAGCTGGTCTTGAACTCCTGACCTCAGATGATCCGCCTGCCTTGGCCTCCTAAAGTGCTAGGATTACAGGTGTGAGCCACTGTGCCTGGCACATTTTGGTATGTTTCTAATTTAACTTTCTTTATAAAAAATACTCTATGTGCTTTTTTTGTAACATGTATTCCACATTTTGTAGAATAGTTTTTAAATGTAATTGAGATTCTACTTTGTCCCTTGCTTTTTTCACTTAATATAATTGTCACCACTGCCTGCTCTTCACCAGTCCTACTTTCTTGGTCTGTTAATACTTGAATTATTCTTCCTTTAGGATCTCACTGAAAGGGAAGCACTTTGGAAAAGTGATTGCAGAATTCAGAGTGAAAAGTACGGAGTCCTGAAGAGACAGCTTATATTATAATACCAGCTCTGTCTCTATCCAGCCGACTAAATAGATGAAGTTACTTGACTTTTGGACATCTAGATCCTTAAAATTAAAGAATTATACAAGATAATAATAATATTTTCTTCAAACTTTAGAAGATGACTCTTTGAACCACCTTAAGTTTGTATGTTTTCATTGCTGTCAAGAGCTTGTTTATACACTCAATTCTAGATTCTGGATACTTTCTTTTTTTTTTTTTGAGACGGAGTTTCACTCTTGTTACTCAGGCTGGAGTACAATGGCGCAATCTCAGCTCACCGCAACCTCCGCCTCCTGGGTTCAGGCAATTCTCCTGCCTCAGCCTCCTGAGTAGCTGGGATTACAGGCACGCACCACCATGCCCAGCTAATTTTTTGTATTTTTAGTAGAGACGGGGTTTCACCATGTTGACCAGGGTGGTCTCGATCTCTTGACCTCGTGATCCACCCGCCTCGGCCTCCCAAAGTGCTGGGATTACAGGCTTGAGCCACCTCGCCCGGCTCAATTCTGGATACTTTCTAGAAAATACCTGATTTAACTCATTTGGTTGATATATTTGTTAGTTGTACTCCTACTCAAATGCTTTAGTTAATTACATATGTTGAGCATGTAGGAAGCAGTGCTGTTTTTATTTTTATTTATTTATTTTTATTTATTTTTTTGAGACAGAGTCTCACTGTGCCGCCAGGCTGGAGTGCAGTGCCGCTATCTCAGCTCACTGCAACCTCGCCTCCCACGTTCAAGTGATTCTTCTAACTCAGCCTCCCTAGTAGCTGGGATGACAGGCACGTGCCACCACACTCAGCTAATTTTTATATTTTGAGAAGAGAAAGGATTTCACCATGTTGGCCAGGATGTGTTTTTATTTATTTTAATACATTATTCATGCATTTGAAGAATTATTTTCATTTTGTAGGCAGTTGGATTTTAAGACTGGAGCTGTCTGAGACAGTAAATGAAACAAGATTTCTTGATGTCCCTTCCAGCTTTATTATGCATGTATTTTTACAGCTGATTTTTTAAAAGTCTGTGTTTATTGTATTTCAGATGCTGAGATGAATCGACACCTGTGTGTTTGGCTTTTTAGACGTCCGTCTCTTAATGGTTCCCTCCACTGTCACATCCAGCTCCATTCTCATCAATTTGGACAGATACATCTTGACACAAGGATGCAGGTTTTTAGACAAACCGGAAAGTGCATTCTTCATCACCTGCTAAGTAAGAATTGGTCCAGGAGATACTGTCATCAAGGCACCAAGATGCTCTGGAAGCATAAAGCACTACAGAAATATATGGAGAACCTGCATAAGGAGTCCCAAACACTTGAGCAGTGTCTGCAGCACTTCTCTGTGAATGAAGAGAAGCGAAGGTCCTTGAACAGAAGGCAGGCTGAGTTGGCACCTCTTGCAGCCGTTTACCAAGAAATTCAGGAGGCTGAACAAGCAATTGAAGAATTAGAATCAATGTGTAAAAGTAGGTAAAAGACACATATGTGTCTTGGGGAAGAGCTATGAAAAAAAACACATTTATATGTGTGTGTGTAAGTACAGGTTTGATTTTCTGAGTTCAAGCTTTATTGAACTTAGTCTGTTTTGTTTTGTTTTCCATGGAAACAGGGTCTCACCTGTTGCCCAGGCAGGAGTACGGTGACTCATTCATAGCTCACTGTGACCTCTAAATCCTGGCCTCCCACCTCAGCATCCTGAGTAGCTAGGGCTACTGTGCCTGGGCCTTCCAAGGCGATGTGATTATAGCCACTGAGCCACTGAGGCTGGCCTGAAGTCAGTCTTTCATAAAACCTACAGGTAATAAGCTCAACACTTGGAAAGAACAGGACTGTACCCAGAGTGTTTGACATACTTTAGCTACTAAAGACCAACTATACTAGGTAACTGGGCTCCTCGTGGTACTTGCCATGGTCTTAAGGTCTGGGAGACAAAATGTTGGCCTTTTCAGAAACGATTTCATGGAGCAGATCTTTGTTTAACACTGTACTTACATACTATGGTTACACATACAGTTCCTACCCCATCAGCGGGCTTCTATGGAGGAGTGTGAGAAACTTACTTAAGTATTGTTTGTAATGTGAGACCTGCTCTACTAGAGGAAGGCACAGGGTTTCATGGGAGCAAAGAGGAAAGCTTCCTGGAGGAGACCACGCATTAGTGGAGCCATGAAGGAAGCTTTATATTTCTTTCTTTTTTTTTTGAGACAGAGTCTGGCTCTGTCACCCAAGCTGAAGTGCAATGGTGCAATCTTGGCTCACGGCAACCTCTGCCTCCCGGGTTCAAGCAAATCTACCTCAGCTTCCCGAGTGGCTGGGACTACAGGAGCACACCACCACGCCCAGCTAACTTTTGTATTTTTAGTAGAGATGGGGTTTCATCATGGTGGCCACGCTGTTCTCGAACTCCTGACCTCAGGTGATCCACCCACCTTGGCCTCCCAAAGTGCTGGGATTACAGGCATGAGCTCCACGCCCAGCCTGGAAGCTTTATGTTTCATGTTGTAAATCTTGAATTTATTCTTTAATGTTTACTCAATTGTAATTTTAGATTACTTAGAATTTGTATATTTAATGGCTGGAAATATTTGCCAGGACAAACAGCTAACAGATTTCTTAGAACCCTAGAATTATTCAGTTCTTATTATCAAATAATAAGCCTAAGTGGCTTCATTGTTACATGAAACACCAAACAAAGCATCTCCACTCGGACAAGACCCCCATTCTCCAGAAGTTTATACACAACCAACAATGTGTTGAAAACAATCATTTCTACCTATTTTTCAAATCTAGAACCTTCGAAAATCTGAATATGTTTATACATGGGCTGCCATGCTAGGATTTCAAGGTGGAAATATCTAAATACTGTTTCTAGATTTCTTGTAGTAGTTTAATCAAAGTGATTTTTTTTCTAGAAATCTGGTAAGGTTAACTCAGTCATTAATTTACTCATTTATTCAGCCAGCATCTACTGGAGGCTTACTAAGAGCCAGGCATTGCAGGAAGCAAGGAGTAAGCCCCAAGGAACTTACCAAGCCTAAGGGTGTGAAGTGGTATCTTATTGTGGTTTTGATTTGCATTTTCCTGAAGATTAATGATGTTGAGCATCTTTTCTGGTGTTTTTTGGCCATTTGTATATCATGTTGGGGGAAATGACTGTTCAGTTCCTTTGTCGGTTTTTAAATTGAATTGTCTTTATTATTGAGCTGTAAGTGGTCTTTATATTCTAGATACAAGTCAGTAATCAGATAGATGATTTGCAAAACTTTCCCATTCTGTGGTTTTTCTTTTTACTTTATCTTTGATGCCGTCCTTTGAAGCATGATGTTTTTAAATTTTGATGATGTCCAATTTATCTTTTTTTCTCTTGTTGCCTGAGTTTTGGGAGTCATATCTAAGAAAATCGCCTAATCTAAGGTCACAAAGATTTACATCTGTGTTTTCTTAAAATAGTTACATATTTTTTATTTTTAGCCGGTGCATTTAGGTCTTTGATCTATTTGAGTTATTTTTTAATATGGCATGTTTATTTTTTATCCTTTTTTTTTTTTTTAAGGGATGGGGCCTCACCATTTTGCCCAAGTTGGACTCAAACTCCAGGGCTCAAACAATCCTCCTGCCTCAGCCTCCTGAGTAGCTGGGACTATGAGCTATGCTTTATCTTAGTTTTTTATTTTAGTATTTTTATTTTGAGAAGGAGTCTTACCCTGTTGCCCACACTGGAGTGCAATGGTGTGATCTTGGCTCACTGCAAACTCCACCTCTTGGGTTCAAGGGATTCTCCTGCCTCGGCCTCCCGAGTAGCTAGGACTACAGGCATGCTCCACCACACCCAGCCAATTTTTCTAATTTTAGTGCACATGGGGTTTCACCATGTTGGTTAGGCTGGTCTCTAACTCCTGACCTCATGATCCATCCACCTCGGCCTCCCAAAGTGCTGGGATTACAGGCTTGAGCCACCACGCCTGGCTTTAGTATTTCTTAATACTGCTATTGCCTCAACATTTTTTCTCTTATGAAAAATTTCCAAAATTTTTATACGGAAGTTGACAGAAAAGTTCAATGAACTAACCTGTGATTCAACATTTATCCAGATTTTGCTATTAACTTTTAGTTTCTAGATTTTCTCCTGTCCCCCATCTTGTTTCATTAAGCTTTAGAGATAATATGTGATGTACAGGCCAGTCACTGTTATACCTATAAGGTTCTGAATATTTAAAGCCTTACATTTTTCTACCTTCTACTGATGGTACCACAAGTCTCTTACTTTATAGGTTTAATGCCACACAAATTTGTAATTAATTAGTTTTGAGAAGATTGCTTGTCCATAGTAGGAGTATGCCCCCATGGCACACAGGCACTGCCCTGTCGCATATTGTAATCATGTATATGTGTTTGCCACCAGACCGGGCCACTTGAGGCCTGAAGCCATGTTTTTTTCTTCCTTGTCTCCCCAGCAACTAGCAGTGAGAAGCAAAATGTTAAATGTTGAAAGCTTGGGTGAAGCACAGAGTCCCACCAGAGTCAGAATTTTTTACCTCAATTTGCAGCAATGGCCACTGATGAAGTTCCCAGGCCTCTAAAGCAGTGGAGTCAAAGGTCATGAGATCTACCATCCTTGGTCAATAACTAGATCATTCTTATCTTCTTTTGCTAGAGTTCCATGATTTAACTTTCTGCTTTGGAAATAATAGAAAAAGGCCCATTTTCCCCACAAAGGACAGGTTACAAAAATATATGTTTTGTCTGACACACATGATATGTATTTTATTTTGTTTTTTGAGACAGAGTCTCTGTCACCCAGGCTGGAGTGCAGTGGTGCAATATTGGCTCACTGCAACCTCAGCCTCCTGAGTAGCTGGAAATACAGGCGTGCACCACCAAACCTGTATAATTTTTATATTTTTAGTAGAGATGGGGTTTCACCACATTGGCCAGGCTGGTCTCAAACTTCTGACCTCAAGTGATCCACCTGCCTTGGCCTCCCAGAGTGCTGGGATTATAGGCATGAGTCACTGTACCTGGCCATGCTCAGTGTTTTAAAATACTGTACTAAGCTAGGCACGTGCCTGTAATCTCAGCTACTTGGGAAGCTGGAGCAGGAAGATCGCTTGAGTCCAGGAGTTTGATGCTGTAGGGCGCCATGATCACATCTGTGAATAGCTACTGCACATCAGCCTGCGCAACATAGTGAGTCCACATCTCCCTTAAAAAAAAAAAGTGAGCAGAGTATGTACAAGAGATTTTAAGAATTCCTATTTCTGACTTCTCTTGGATAATATGGAAGTTCTAGGTGTGCTGGACCATGTCACAGTGTGCTGAGTTACAGCTGCCACCTTTAGACAAGAAGTGCTCACTCCAGTTTGCTCCAAAACTTACCTTATTTGGGTGTATATTTAATTAGCTATCCCTTTTATACCTGTTTGATTAATCACCAATTTACATAATTACAGACATTCGAATAACAAGCTTTGTAAATACGGGTTTCTATATTAAGCATATTTTTGTCACTACTATTAATAGATTTGGGTTTATATATAATTAGCTAGTGCTTTTTTAAACCTATTTGATTAGTCACTGATTTATATAGCCATTCAAATAATGAGCTTTGTAAATGTGGGTTTCTATATTTCAGTGTATTTTTGTCGCTACTCTTAATAGATTCATTTGTTTAGATATTAAATCCTTTAAGATATTTTACCTTTTAAATAAACACAAGCTTTTGGAAGCCATGATTATACTGCTTTTCACATTAGTTTTTTGGAAATGCTTAGCAAATACTTGTTAATTGACATTCTCCAGCTATTCTAAATGTTCCTTTATATATAATCTCTTGCCTTTAAAACTGAAATAAAACTTAGTAGCCAAAGAGGAACGTGCTACCTAGGCGTTTCTCTGTAAGGATTTAAAAATGTTAACATTATTTCTGTTGCTGGCTTTTAGGCCTAAATAAACAAGATGAAAAGCAGTTACAAGAACTTGCACTGGAAGAAAGGCAAACCCTCGTTCAAAAAATCAACATGTTGTACAGTGAGGTAGGTTTTCAGAGGTAGACTAATTTCAGTACTGTTGTATAAAGGAGTACTGTTTTTGTTACACTCTGCTTTGGTGCTCAAGGTGCTTTCCAAACACTTTTAAGTGTTTTCTCTTATGATCAAGCTGGTCTTCTATAATTTACTGCAGAATTAGAATCAAGAAATTAGGATATCAAATTAAAAAACAGAGACTCCCAGGGTAAAAAAAAAAAATTCAGAGTTGAGTCTATTAACTCGTTAAGCAAGAGAATACATGTGGCTAGAGAAATTTAGTTTACCACAGAGAAGAGTCAGGGTTTTAAGTGTGAGAAGGGGATGAGTTCATGGTGACTAATTAAGGATTGGAATTTGCACTCTGGATAGAATGGAATGAATCCAAAGGTGTAGAGATAGTTGGTTAACACACATCTTTAGTTAGGTCTAGTAGGGGTGTGACGTACTGGAGCCTCTCAGGGTTCGTGATACTGTATCAGCATCGGCTGGTATCTCCTAGACATGGAAATGGAAGATTTCCCTTCAATAGTGGTCTGTTTTCCTTCTTGCTCAATGGACAGCTTGTCTACAAAGACAGTGAAGAACACACTACTGTATACCGTGCCTCCCTCTGTCATATTGCCATCCTCCTACCTTCAGCCTGTCTTGCTCTGGGAATCCAAGAGAGGGCCTTTTTGAAAAGTGAAGGGGGAAGTTAACTGGGATGTCAGTTACTTTTATTACGAACTGAACCAGTTAATCAAGGGCGGAAGCCCTTCTTCTAGGGCAGAAGATGTCTGACTCTTAGTCTGATACTATCTCCTACAGACTATGTCATTTCTAGCAGAGATGGAGTATTTCAGAAATTGGCAGTCGGGAGAGTCACGACGCATAGGTACTTTAGTTTGACTTGAAAAACCTTTTAGTACTAATGAAATTACTTCCCTTTTCTTCCTAAGAGGAAAGTTGTCTACTTTCTTTATTAGGAAGCCCCTTTTTTTTCTGGTCACAGCTGAGAAACTCAATTTGAGCCTTATCTTGGGAGTCTTCCTCATAGTCTCTAATTAGTGAGACTCTGCTGAGAAGGCACAGCATGGCATGGTGTCTGCTGTCAGTTATGACAGGAGATAATATGAAACCATTTCTCAAAGGGAAGACTTTCAAAGCCTTGCTTCATTCATTAGATGAAAGAAGCTACTGTTCAGAACTAATTATAAGAGCCAAAATCTGAAGAAAATTGAATGGAACTCCCCGGACTTTGATCTGTACTTCTGCATTCTAGAAAATTAAGATAATCTGATACAGTGCAGAAAATAGACTGACAAGTAACTCCATTGTTAACATGAATTGATCACCTTTTTAGGCCTAATTAGTTGTACTTATTATTAACATTTTTGGAATACCCACATTGGGATACTATATGATTTTGCCAATTACTGATTTTTTTCAGTGTTTTGGGGGCCTTAATTTAAATTCAAGTAATAATAGTACACTGGGGAAAATATACACACAAATGCTGATTTTTATTCCAGCTTTTCCAGAGCCTTGTGCCAAAGGAGAAATACGACAAAAATGATGTTATTTTAGAGGTGACATCTGGAAAAACTACTGGAGGTCAGTAAACTTATTATTTAAATGATCTAAAAAGTCCTTGAATTTTACATATATTTGATAATACTGACTTTAAAGTCCATTAAATGTATTTAAATTTGGAAATAGTGATTCTTTATTTCCTAAAGGACTTAGTCTTAAGGATGGGATTCAGAAATTTGTTCTGACTAAATATTTTTTCTATTTTCTTTTAGGTGACATCTGCCAACAATTTACCCGAGAAATATTTGACATGTACCAGAATTATTCGTGCTACAAACACTGGCAATTTGAACTTCTGAATTATACACCAGCAGATTATGGTAGGCATATTGAGGATTCTGTCCATAGGAAATACTAAAATTTATTTTACCTCTGCTCTTGATTAGAACCATACTGTCTCATTTTTGAAACTTTTGGTGTGTATCTACTAAACACTGTGGCATAGGCTCATGAGTCTTACTATTATAGTAGGGTTGTTAGCTGGAAGAAGAGAGTGGGAAGGAGGGAAGCATTTGCCTAGGAAGAAATATGTGAATTAGAGAAAATTCCCCTGAGGAACTTACATACCTGTCTTGCCTCAAAATCATTTTTCTCTGTTATTGAATGCAAAGGTATATTAAGGTTTTTACTTTAAATAACTTTATTATTTATAAAATAAATATAAGAAAGTATTACTAATTAAACTAAGTGGCTAATGTATTTGATTTTTATGAGAATGCAGAAAAAGTTAATCATTTGTTTTTATTTTCAAAAAACTTCTATTTGGGCTGATAAAAATTGATACAATGGCTGGGCACTTTTGCTCATGCCTGTAATCCCAGCAGTTTGGGAGGCTGAGGTGGGTGGATCACCTGAGGTCAGGAGTTCAAGACCAGCCTGGCCAACATGGCAAAACCCTGTCTCTACTAAAAATATAAAAATTAACCAGGTATGGTGGCACAAACCTGTAGTGCCAGCTACTCAGGAGGCTGAGGCAGGAAAATCACTTGAACTTGGGAGGCAAAGGTCGTAGTGTGCCAAGATCACACCCCTGCCCTCCAGCCTGGGCAGGAGTTTGACACTGTCTCAAAAAAAAAATGTATGTAACATAGACAAACAGCGCAAGTTCTTTACCTTTAAATACTCAGGCATGTTGATTCAAAACGTGATAATAATTCTTTCATTTGTCCCTTTCTTTTAATCCACCTGAAAGTTTTCCTCTGCTTGGTTACACAGTGATACATCATAGTAGACAGAGGAGTCATCAGTAATCAACCCCAAACTATCAAAGTGGGGAGAGAGGAATAATGTCAGTTGAGCAGTAGAGGGAAACGAGAACCAGCATACCGCATAAGGAAGTTGTACTTGGTACAGATTTCAGATACAACCCATGATCAGGAAAGGCGATTATCAGTGAGAGCAGAGGGAAGAAACAACCTGAGCAGCAGCATGGTGGTGGGAGAGGTCTTGGTGTGTGGGTAAAGCAGTGGGGAGGCCAGTTTACCCATAGCTGGTCAGGGAAGTAATCTCTGAAGTAGGTTTCAATGGGTAGATTTTGGAAAGCTTTGATTGATGGGCAATAGGAAGCTGTTGAACATTGTGTTGATAAGAATATGATTTAATAAAATACATATTTTAAGGAGATTATTTACAACAGTGTGGTAGATGGATGGAAAAGGCAAGATTTGGTGCAGACTGCAAAGCGGTTATTAGATTAATCCAGATATGACTCAGAGTTAGAATTCGGACGAGGATTCCGTGTCAGAGACCTTCACAGGATGGAACAGGCGTAATTTGCTAAGTAAGTGGACGTGCGGGGGCTGTTGCTTATCCAGTGTGTCTTGTGTGCACAACTTCACACCCTTGTGAGATAGGTATTACTAACTCATTCTACAGATGAGGGTCTGGGCTCAGAGAGTAAGTAAGGAATCCAAGACCACACAATAAGTAATGGCAATCGTGGGATTAAATTTTAGTCTGTCTGATCCAGCTGTACTACATCCCATTAGTCTATTCTGACACAGAGGAGATGAGCCACAGGGATGCCAATCTTTCTAGCGGAGAAGACTGATACTCATTCATGCCATTCAATAGAATTGAAGTTGGGAGGCAGAGGCCATTTGGGAAGAATAATGAGGAATGGTTTTTGAATGATTAAGTTTGAGGTTATAGTGAGCATCCACTTAGAAATATTCAGTAAATAAGCCGGGGGCAATGGCTCGTGCCTGTAATCCCAGCACTTTGGAAAACCAAGGCAGGTGGAACACCTGAGGTCAGGAGTTTGTGACCAGGCTGGCCAACATGGTGAAACCCTGTCTCTACTAAAAATACAAAAATTACCTGGGCATGGGGGCGCACACCTGTAATCCCAGCCAAATAATATTTTGGTATGTTTCCTATTGTTGCCTCACTGGCTCCTATAACTGATCAGTGAAATGTGAATACGTTTCCTTTTAGATTTTAGTACATTTACGTTGGGAAACTGTAGTTTTGTGCACACTTTATGTTTTGTTTTCGTCTTCAGAGGTCCTCGTTCTCCCACGCTTTTATGTTCTCCAGGCTCTGTGCTCATAGTCAGGCCTTAGATTAAGGTCATTTGGGATCCTGATCTGTTCCAAAGGAGAATTCATTGATATTTCTGGGTTGTTGTCCCCCTAGGTGGACTACATCATGCAGCTGCCCGGATTTCTGGTGACAGTGTCTATAAGCATTTGAAGTATGAGGGTGGGATTCACCGAGTTCAGCGCATCCCTGAAGTGGGCCTGTCCTCAAGGATGCAGCGCATTCACACAGGAACAATGTCGGTTATTATCCTTCCTCAACCAGACGAGGTAACCTCAGCAGGAGGCATGGGAAACTCACTCCACATCAACGGGTATTGTGCTGGGAAGTTTCAGCTTCCAGGAAAATCTGTGTTTTTTGTTTGTTTGTTTGTTTGTTTGTTTGTTTGTTTGAGATGGAATCTTACTCTGTTGCCCAGGCTGGAGTATAGTGGCACGATCTCGGTTCACTGCAACCTCCACCTCCCTGGTTCAAGCAATTCTCCTGCCTCAGCATCCTGAGTAGCTGGGATTATAGGTGCACACCACAATGCCTGGCTAATTGTTTTTGTAGTTTTAGTGGAGACAGAGTATCACCACGTTGCCCAGACTGGTCTCGAACTCCTGACCTCAGGCAATCCGCCCACCTCAGCCTCTCAAAGTGCTGAGATTATAGGTGTGAGCCATCGAATCTGGCTGAAAATCTGCTCTTTTCATGGCTGGATTGGAGTTTATAGTCTCTAATGGGAAATCTGTAACTCTCCCCCAGGCAAAGTTGCCCCTCTTATTCTGACCAAGCTGTTTTGTTTGCTTTTAAATATAAGTCACTTATTTTCAAAAAGTGCTCATTTAATGTTGTTGCTTATGTTTTATCTTAAGAAAAAAAATGAATTCCACAGATAATATTTCAAGGTCAATGGTGTAATATCAGTATGAGGGCCGTAAATCTTTTTAGTTGAATGCAGCCATCTGCTCTATATTTTTCTTTTCCCTTTTTTTTAAAAACATACAGAAAATTGAAAGGATATCACAATGAAAATTTTATAAGCTTCACCTGAGGTTGGTTGTTTACATTTTCTCACATTTGCTTGATTCCTACATATATGTGTGTATGCATTTCTTTAATGAACTGTATGTAAATGATACAGCAGATACCAGGAGACTTTACCTTCCAGATCTTTCACATACATCTCCCAGGGCACTCTCCGACATAAGCTCATTACCATTACCTATGAAAACTAACCATAATTGTGTAATATTATCTAATCTCTAGTACATTTAACAGTTCTCTAATCAGCCCGAAAGTATTTTTACAGCTTTTATTTATCTATTTTGGAGGCAGGGTCTTGCTGTGTTACTCAGGCTGAACTCCTGGGCTCAAGGTGATCCTCCTGCCTTAACGTCCTGAGTAGCTGCAGGCATGCCACTCACTGTACCTGGGTATTGTGATTTTATTTTAACCAGGATCCTGTCAAGTTTCACACATTGCAATTAGTTGCTATATTTCTTTAAGTTTGGAACAGTCTCCTAACTTTTTTTTTAAATAACATTGACTTTTTGAAAAGTCTAGACCATTGGTCTTGAAGAATGTCCCACATTTTGGATTCCTCTGGTTGTTCATGGTACTTTTTAACTTGCTCCTTTGTCCTCTGTATGTTGAAAGTTGTATCTACATGTTCCATTCCATGCAGGTTATACATTTTGAGAGAGAATACCTTATAGGTGCAGTTATAGTCATGTTGCATCTTATCAGGAGGCATTAATGCTAGATTGTCCGACTTTTTTTTTTGAGACGGAGTTTCGCTCTTGTTACCCAGGCTGGAGTGCAATGGCGCAATCTCGGCTCACCGCAACCTCCGCCTCCTGGGTTCAGGCAATTCTCCTGCCTCAGCCTCCTGAGTAGCTGGGATTACAGGCACGCACCACCATGCCCAGCTAATTTTTTATATTTTTTTTAGTAGAGACGGGGTTTCACCATGTTGACCAGGATGGTCTCGATCTCTTAACGTCATGATCCACCCGCCTCGGCCTCCCAAAGTGCTGGGATTACAGGCTTGAGCCACCGCACCTGGCCGATTGTCCCACTTTCAGTGTGCCTTAGTTTTAGTAGTTACTGAAGATGATGACCACAGAAATATTTCCATTGTAAAAGTGTATTTCTCCCTTTGTAATTGCTAAGTAATTTCTGGGTACATGGATCCTGTTCCCAATCACCTTTCATCCACGGTTTTAACACCCATTGGTGATCCTTCCTGAATCAGTTCTTCACTTTGGGGTTGCAAGATGGTGGTTTTCTAATTCTTTCATTCCTTCTACATTTACAAACTGGCATTCTTCTGTGAAGGACGTTCCTCCCTCCTACCCTCTCACCTCCTAGCCCACACTCTCTTGCATTCTTTCTCTAGGATATGATTCCATTGTACTTATATCAAGTTTCAGCTGTTAACCTCATTATAGATTCATGGATTCACATTTTAATTCATTTATTTATAGTTCCTAGTCTTCTTTATGTTCAAATAGTCCCAGATTTGGTCCATAGTAGCCTTTCTAGGGCACCCCTTTTGTTCTTTTGAAATGATAGCATCATTCTGTGAGTGCATCTGTGCTTTCTGATGTAGTTAGATTCCCAGGCCCATTTTGTACTATCCTGCCTCAGACCTAGAATCAGCCTGGTTCATTTTAGAGGAGTGTATATCCAGAAATCAAGATCTAGATAGTAGGTATGTTTATTACTGTTAGTGCCATTACTTCTAGGCTCTTTGAGAGGATATAGCCAGGAAATACATGCTTTGAAATCATAGCTTCATATTGTTACTACCAATTCAAATTTAACTTTTCGGAAATTTTTTTCACCTCTCAACTTACTACATTTTATATTTACATCTCTCCAATATAAAAAATCTTATTTTCTAATCCCTTTAATATGTTTACTTGGTTTATTATATACTATATATAAAATAGTTCCAAAACTATAATATCAAATTACTAATAGTAAACTACTGAGTAATGTTTATGATTTTTGTCTTTAGAATGTACTCTACCAAGAATGCATAGTCAGGCTGGGTGCAGTAGCTCATGCCTGTAATCCTAGCACTTTGGGATGCTGAAGCAGACAGGATCATTTGAGGTCAGGAGTTCGAGACCAGCCTGGCCAACACAGTAAAACCCTGTCTCTACTAAAAATACAAAAAAATTAGCCAAGGGTGGTGCTGCACGCCTGTAGTTCCCCCTGCTCGGGAGGCTGAGGCAGGAGAATTGCTTGAGCCCGGGAGGCAGAGGTTGCAATGAGCCAAGATCACACCATCGCGCTCCAGCCTGGGTGACAGAGTAGATTCTGTTTCAAAAAAAAAGAATGCATAGTCAGAGCACTATGCTCAAAGACCATCTGAAATCATCTTTTTCTGTGTAGTTATGTTATCATTATGATAACTGTTTTGGTTCATTTATTTCTGTTTTTATCTCATTTTAGGATTTGATTTTTCTTTTCTCTCCCTTTTTTTTTTTTTGAGATGAAGTTGTGCTCTGTTGCCCAGGCTGGAGTGCAATGGTGCCATCTCGGCTAACTGCAGCCTCCACCTCCTGGGTTCAAGTGATTCTCCTGCCTCAGCCTCCTGAGTAGCTGGGATTGCAGGTGTGTGCCACCATGCCCAGCTTATTTTTGAATTTTTAGTAGAGATCGGGTTTCACCATGTTTCACCATGTCACTGGCCCATACCTGTAATCCCAGCATTTTGGGAGGCTGAGGCAGGCAGATCACTTGAGCTCAGGAGTTCAAGACTGGCCTAAGCAACATGGCAAAACCTCCTCTCTACAAAAAATAGAAAAATTAGCTGGGTGTTGTGGCACACAGCTATAGTCTCAGCTACTCGAAAGGCTGAGGTGGGAAAATTGCTTGAGCCTAGGAGGCAGAGATTGCAGTGAGCTGAGATCAGGCCACTGCACTCTAGCCTGGGTGACAGAGTAAGATTCCATTTCAAAAAAAAAGGGAAACAAAAAGAGGGTAAATGGGAGGAGTGGGATAGAATAACTAAGGATGGAGAAGATAACCCTGTGGTTTTGACTTTTGAGCCATGTGAATGTTCATATATGAAAATAAAATGAAGTAAAAGAGAAAAGAAAGGCTGAGCATGGTGGCTCATGCCGATAATCCCAGCAATTTGGTAGGCTAGGTGGGTGGATCATGAGGTCAGGAGTTCAAGACCAGCCTGACCAACATGGTGAAACCCTGTCTCTACTACAGATACAAAAAATTATCTGGGCATGGCGGCAGATGCCTGTAATTCCAGCTACTCAGGAGGCTGAGGCAAGAGAATCACTTAAACCCAGGAGGTAGAGGTTGTAGTGAGCCAACATTGCATCATTGCACTCCAGCCTGGGTGACAGAGTGAGACTCCACCTCGAAAAACAAAATAAAATAAAATACTTCATCTGCCGTAAGCCACATCTGTACCCAGAGTTCCCCAAAAGTCATTAGATCATTTCTGTAACGTTTGGGAGAATATCAAGTATGATATCCACACACTGTCTATGTAACTACTTAATATACTGTAGCTACATAAAATGGTACGTTACTCTTACCTCTTCAGTATTTATTTAAGTCTTAAGGTAGCCAACTCTCACATATTTTAACAAAAGCCATATAATCTTTTTCTTCACTATGTAGCAGTCATTTGAGGGGAAACATACAAAAAAACAGTCAACTAAACAGTATGTTAGATTCCAGCCTTGACCCTGTTACTACTTTTCTAAGAGAAAAGTCACACCTGCTTTCTGCCATTCATACTAAGAAATGATGAATGTGGGGTAAAATGTTAGCTCTCCCCTTAAAAATAGCATATCTGTTGTAGGCAGGGCACAGGGGCCCATGCCTGTACTCCCTGTACTTTGGGAGGCCGAGGTAGGCAGATCACTTGAGGTCAGGAGTTCCAGACCAGCCTGGCTAACAAAGTGAAACCCCATCTTTACTAAAAATACAAAAATTAGCTGGGCGTGATGGCGTAGGCCTGTAATCCAGGCTACTTGGGAGGCTGAGGCAGGAGAATTGCTTAAACATGGGAGGCAGAGGTTACGGTGAATTCTGAGATCACGCCATTGCATTCCAGCCTGGGCAACAAAGCAAGACTCTGTCTCAAAAAAAAAAAAAAAACGGCATATTTGTTAACTGTTTGTGTGTGTGTGTGTGTGTGTGTGTGTGCGTGTGTGTGTGTGTGTAATATATGTAAGTTTCCACAGGCTGCTGTAACAAATTACCACAAACTTAGTGGATTTATATAGCAGTAACTTATTCTTTCACTGTTCTAGCAGCCAGAAGTCTAAAATCAAGGTGTCAGCAGGGCTGGGCCCCTCTGAGGGCTGTGGGGAGAACCTCCCCTGCATCCTCTCACTGTGGGGAGACCCTCCCCCGCATCCTCTCGCTGTGGGGAGAACCTCCCCCGCATCCTCTCACTGTGGGGAGACCCTCCCCCGCATCCTCCCGCTGTGGGGAGAACCTCCCTGCATCTTCCCGCTTCTGGCTGCTCCAGGTATTGATCAGCTTGAAACTAAACCACTCTCCAAACTCACAATGTCGTCTTCTTTACTGTCTCCTCTAGTTACTTTTTATAAGAACGCTTGTCATTGGATTTAGGGCCTATTCTGATAATCCAGGACAATCCCATCCTAATTACATCTGCAAAGACCCTTTTTCCAAATAAGGTTCCATGAGTTAGAACAGGAATGTATCTTTTTGGGAGCCACCTTTCAATCCACTAATAAACATACACATCCATGAATAAAGTTGATTTTCACTATTCCTAATAGTTATGTTCTGTAAAGTTACAGCAAACACTGATTTATAGATAGTGAACCACTTGGGAGTAATGGTTCAGTACTTGCTAAATCAGAATTAGGAATAGCTGGGTGTGGTTGCACACACCTGCCGTCCCAGCTACTCAGGAGGTTGAGGCAGGAAAACTGCTTAAGCCCGGGGGTTCAAGGTGGCAGTGAGCTATGACTGTACCATTGCACTCCAGCTTGGGCAACACAGTGACACCCTGTCTCCAAAAAAAAAAAAAAAAATTAGCTAAGTCCATGCATACATGGACATACACATAAACACATACTGAACTCATTATCATAATCTTAAATTCTAAAAATAACCCATCCTGGTAGATTCTCTCTACTTTACAAAAGAGAAAACGAGGCTCATGAGTGTCACGTGACTTGCCTGATGCAGCTCCACTAACAGGTGCTAGAGTTCAGATTCAAACCCAGTCCAACTGGCCCCAGAGCCAGAGCACTGCTCTCCTGTGCCCCCTACACCTCCGTTCTCTGGTCGTCTCTGTAGCAGAGCTGCAGTAAGAAGGCAGGTGTTACCTTGTCCTACTTCAGCTGGTAGTACGCAAGTGTGAAGCAGTTCACATTTTTCACTGCTCTCTGCATGTCTGCGAATGACTGGATGTGCCTCGGGTATTGAATTGAGAATACAAATAAATTGTAGTGAGTAGGTAAATTTGCAAATAGACATTCTGACAATAGTGCGAATCAATAATATATATGTGTGTATTTTATATATTTTTGGGTTTTTTTTTAACATTTACTTTGGGGTGATGAATGATGAAACTTTTGAAAGATTGCATACTCGGTGATCTCATAACATCCTAAATCAGTGCTTAAAAATGGCATCCCAGGGCCAGGCGGGGTGGCTGCTATCTGTAATCTCAGCGTTCAGGAAATCCAAGGTGGGAGGATCGCTTGAGGCCCGGAGTTTGAGGTTACAGTGAGCTATGATTGTGCTACTACACTCCAGCCCAGGCAACAGAGGGAGACCCTGTCTCAAACAATAGCATCCTATTGGAATGGGGAGTTTATTGCCCTTTATTTGGTATAAGTTGCTTCTCTTAGGCTAATAGCTATGACTTATCTTAAAAGGGTACAGTTTATTCGAAAAATCTCGGAATCAGTTTTGTACTAAGGAATTCCCGGAGTGTAGAATAATGCCATGCCTTCTATTCTAGGTAGATGTGAAATTGGACCCCAAGGATTTGCGAATAGATACGTTTCGAGCCAGAGGAGCAGGAGGGCAGCATGTTAATACAACCGATAGTGCCGTCAGACTTGTCCATATCCCCACAGGTGAGCAAGTCCCTTGGCTTTGTACTTTTAACCATTTTTCCCATCTTACTCAGAGTTTGGAAGGAAATCGTCCTATGTGAGTATCTGGTTCCCTGCACAGCTCTTTAAAAATGTCACTGGGATTGTGGATCGGGATGTCTGTTGTGTTCATATTCCCCTTCGGTTTGGAAAGATTTCCTTTCTGACAAGATGCAGACAGTGAGCAGACCTATTCAGGGAAGCTCCCAGGTATGCGGGCGGGAGTGAGCAACCAGAGGTGCCTCTGCCTAAATACAAATGAAACACAGAAGTAGCCTTGGGTGGGCCAATGCCGTGGATCTTCTGTCACCTGTAGCTTGATGGCTAACTCCATTAGGCTTTGCTGCACTAATGCTTTTATTTTGAATACTGGTAATCCTGGCAAACTCAGGTGGTTTTGTGGTTTGTAATGTGATTTTAAATATTCCTACCGTTTTTCAGATTAAAAACCTTTTTAACTTCTTAATTTTTCTTTTTAAAATTAATTTTTACATTTAATGTATATTATTTTAAAAGTCTAATGGCAAAATCCAATAACAAAAAAACTAGCGGTCCTCTGGACTCATTCCCACCTTCCCACTTCCTCTACCCTCAGTTCCCACTTCCTAGAGATAACCACTTTAAATCCTTATAGCTCACGTCTCCAGCTACAAAAAACAAACCTCTTTTAGTTATTTCTTCTGGTAATTACATCAGTATTTCTAAATAATAGGCAAACAGTGCTCTTCTAACCAAGTATAAAGATTACATACTTACGTCTTAATGTGGTAGATGAGAATGTTACCCCTTTTATATCCCCTTTCCTCTTTCAAATATTTATCTTTTGGCAAAATTAATCTTCACTCTTTTCATATAATGAACAGATAGTGTTTGATGCTGAGCCCGTTAGTATACAGTCCTGTGATTTCATTTCCTAGAGTTAATAATGACCTCATTGATTTTCCATTTGCTTACTTTTCTTTGACTCTGAGTCTGCCTACATCTTCCAAAGGCTGTGTGAAATGAAGTCACTGCAGTGCTCTCTGGAGACTCTCTGACAGAGCATGCTATCTTCTTGCTCCAGTGTGGACCAGCTGCTCCCCCGGGCACTGCACAGGGGTTGTCCTGGTCACCAGCAGTTGGGACGTTCCCTTCATCTCTGTTCTGTGTTGGATCCTCCCATTTCTTGGGTTCCATATCATCTTTTCTCTTTGTTACTCTATCTTTTTTTTTTTGAGACGGAGTTTCACTCTTGTTACCCAGGCTGGAGTGCAATGGCGTGATCTCGGCTCACCGCAACCTCCGCCTCCTGGGTTCAGGCAATTCTCCTGCCTCAGCCTCCTGAGTAGCTGGGATTACATACTCTGTCATTCTAACAAAGCTCATCTTTAAGTGGCTTCCTGAGAAAAGATTTGTGACAGGTAAATATTACAAGGCTTTGGAGATCTGAAAATAGCTTTTCCCTCCCAGCAACTACTTCAAGGAAAAAATAGCTTTACTCTAACTTCACACTTCATTGATCACTTGCTGGAGACCATTTCCCCTTAGAACAGTGAAAATCTTTTTCATTCCTTATATTTGTTGCTTTCAGTTTAGAGACTCATGCCTTTCAGCTCTGAAATACTTTCTTAATAATTTCTTACATAGGGCCGGGCGCGATGGCTCATGCCTGTAATCCCAGTACTTTGGGAGGCCAAGGCAGGTGGATCACGAGGTCAAGAGATCGAGACCGTCCTGGTCAACATGGTGAAACCCCGTCTCTACTAAAAATACAAAAAATTAGCTGGGCATGGTGGTGCGTGCCTGTAGTCCCAGCTGCTTGGGAGGCTGAGGCAGGAGAATTGCCTGAACCCAGGAGGCGGAGGTTGCGGTGAGCCGAGATCGCGCCATTGCACTCCAGCCTGGGTAACAAGAGTGAAACTCCGTCTCAAAAATAATAATAGTAGTAGTAATAATAATAATTTCTTACATAATATTTTCTTTATTCTTCCTTGGATTTCTATTAGTTAGATATTGGACCTCTTGAATTTATCCTTTTTTTCTCATAGTGTCTGTCACTTTGTTTTTTAGTTCTTTTTCCTACCCTTTTTCTGATTTAAGAGAAATTATATTTTTTAACTTTTGAGTGCTCTTTCGTGTTCTCAAAATTTTTTTCGTAGCATTTTTTCTTATTTTTGATACTGATTTCTCTTTTTTATTGCTCAAGGATATTAATATTCATTTCCCTGAAGTACTCTTCTGCTTTCTGCAGTCTCTGTTTCCTCTGAGTTTATTTTGTTTCATTCTTACTTTTCTTTTTTTTCTTTTTGAGGCAAGATCTCGGTCTGTTGCCCAGGCTGGAGTACGGTGATGTGATCACAGCTCGCTGCAGCTGTGACTTTCCCAGGCTCAGGTGATCTCCCACCTCAGCACGCCTTCCCGCCCCTCTTCCTGGTAACTGGAACTGTAGACGCTTGCCACTGCGCCTAGCTAATTTTTGGAGTTTTTTCTTGGTAGACACCAAGTTTCTCTACATTGCCCAAGCTGGTCTCCAGTTCCTGGGCTCAAGTGATCTGCCTGCCTCAGCATCTCAAATGTTGGGATTACAGACATGAGCCACTGCACTCAGCCAGTCTTACTTTCATGCTAGAAATGTCTAGGAATTCTTGGCTGTCTATACATATTTAAGAGTCAGGTTCTAAAAGCTTGGAGTGCACTTACCCACATACCCACTGGCGAGTTCCACTGTAGGGTGGTTGGAGGATTAATCAGCTTTTTATTAGGATCCCCCAGGTGTCTGTGTCTGTAGATCTTTTCTCTTGTGAGTTTGTTTTCTCCTGAGAAGGGTCTTCCAGGATACAGCTGAGAGTAAGGTCAAGATCTCACCATTCAATAGTAGCCTTTTACTTAATCCTCTTGTCTTCAGGCCCATGCTCCACACTTGTCCTCCCTTGTACCTAGTCCCAAGTCTAGAACTTTCCTGATTTAATTATTCAGGAATATACCTCCTGCCTTCTGCAGATTGAGGGAAGAGACTTGAGGATCTATTTGTTATTACAGACTTTCTGTATTTAGCCCCAGCTTCTCAAGCCTGACTTCTGAAATACCCGGTGTCTCTATTTCTGAGCCTTTCTGGCACTTAGCAGGGCAAATTAGCCAGTGTCTGGTCAGCATCTCCCTCTACAGGGAGTTAAGTCTCATCTTCCTTCCATCTGCTAAGTCATTTTCCATTCTTCCATCCACTTTCTGTCTTTATAGGCCATGTCTGGGCATAGATACGTGACCTAGTTTTATTTCAGATGGAGTTTGTGTTTCTGTCCCTTGCTCTTATTGTAGTATGTTAAAAAGGTGGGGGCAGGCACAGTGGCTCACACCTGTAATCCTAGCACTTTGGGAGGCCAAGGCGGGTGGATCCCCTGAGGTTAGGACTTTGAGATTCGCCTGGCCAAAATGGTGAAACCCACCTCTACTAAAAATACAAAAAAATTAGCCAGGTGTTGTGGTGCGTGCCTGTAGTCCCATCTACTTAGGAGGCTGAGGTAGGAGCATCGCTTGAACCCAGGAGGCGGAGGTTGCAATGAGCTGAGTCTGTGCCATTGCACTCCAGCCTGGGCAAAAAGAGCGAAACTCCTTCTCAAAAAAAAAAAGGGAAACCATCTTGAAATCAGACATCATTTTTAAATTTTAAATTCATTTTCAGCTTATTATGATTGCTTGTGTTGTGTGTTATACGAAAAGCTAAAACAACCTAAATATCCAACAAGAAGATAATTTCATATTTTCTCTTAAATTTTCTTTATTGATTTTTATTCCATAGGAAACTGTAAAAAAAAAAAAAGAATATATGCATGAGCAAAACAAAATAAAACATCCATAATAATAACCCAGAACCATTGTTGGCATATATCTTTGGTATACACATCCTTTCAAATTCTTTTCTATACATATAAAAATATGCCATTTTTTCCCCCAAAATTAGGGGGAAAAAATGCTTTCTTTTTTCTTAGATGGAGTCTGGCTCTGTCACCCAGGCTGGCGCGCAGTGGTGCAACCTTGGTTCACTGCAACCTCTGCCTTCCATGTTCAGGCAATTCTGGATCAGCCTCACAAGCAGCTGGGACTACAGGCATGCGCCACCACACCCAGCTAATTTTTGTCTTTTTAGTGGAGACTGGGTTTTACCGTGTTGGCCAGGCTGGTCTCAAACTTCTGACCTTAAGTGATACACCCACCTCAGCCTCCCATAGTGCGGGGATTATAGGCATGAGCCACCATGTCCAACCTGAGGTTACGCTTTTTGTAACTTGCCATAATTTACTTCAGTAATCCATAAATTGTTGGATACTTAATGTGTTTCACCTACACCCTGTACTGTTGGATATCATTCTATATTATACGCAGTCCAGAACATTAATACTTAGCTGAAGGTGAATTAAAAATTAAAATGAGTAAAAAATGGGGTAAAAGGCAATCAAAGTTCTGACAAAATAAACCAGAATACTTTAAAACATATTAAAGGGTTGTAAAACCATAAATTGTAGCCATAAATTGCTGACTTTACAAAAAGTGACTTACAGAGAGTAGAACTGTGCTTATTAGAGGCTGGGAAGGGCAAGGGGGAGGGGAGAATAGAGACAGGTTGGGTAAAGGATACAGAATTACAGCTGGATAGGAAGAATTCCTTCTGCTGTTCTGCAGCACTATAGCACCAATATGGTTAATTGTAGGGAGTCCGTGAGCCCCACACATTGCGTGCCAGAACATAGGGATCCATGAGCCCCATGCTGGGCACCAGAATGTAGGGAGCCAGCCCTACATCGCCCATGGGTTTGTAGGCAACAAAGGAATGAGAAAAAGACAGATTAAGAGAGGCAGTGGGACCAGGGGGCCATCACTTATCACTGAGGCAGTGAAGGCCCTGAGCTCTGACCATCCATGCTACTTACTGATTACTGACAACAGGTCAGCTGACAAGAGGAATGTGGAGGAAAGTTCATGAAAGCCCAGCCGTCTTAAAATGGAAATGCTCATATTGCTTTGGGTAGTACAAAAAGGATACGAGATTCAAGGAAACTCCAGACAAATACCTGGAAGATGGGGGCCAGTCAGTGCCCCAGCCCAGCTAGATGGCTGCGGTACAGCAGTCAAGGAGTGAGTTCAAACTAGTAGAGGTGAAACCTCCGTGCCCTGCTGAAATTATTAGCAGGTAGAAACTGTAGCTTATTTAGACAGGGAGAAAACATAGTTCAGAGAATAGAATGTTATAGAAATTCTTTAAATTTCCAGCAAAATATTTACCACTGTATTGGTGCAGATTGGCTATATTAATGGGGCTTTTGGTTTTTAGTTTTTGTGATGCAGAAAGAAAATCCCTTTCTCCTCTAATTTATTGAGAAGCGGGATTAGACATGGACCTTCTGAGCAATAGCTGCAAAGTTAAGAACAACACAGCCTCAAGAAGTGATCGATTTAGAGCCGGATTTGGGCCAGGAACTGGACTACACAGTGGGCCAAACCCACCCAAATGCAGAAGCTGGTCAGCCAAATCTTGTGTGTGGTTAGATGTATTGATTAGCTGGACCCCTGCTTACTCAGACTATGCAGAGCAACTTAGAAGTTTAGAACTCAGACAACTCAGAAACATTCCCTGTAAACTCTTCTTTTTAAAAGCTCTGAGTAGCATCCTTCCATTGGCTTCTTTCTATAAGGGTATTTTTAAAACCTCAGCTCTGTGTGTATTTGTGATTGAAGGGGGAAAAGGCGAGTTCTTCTTGAACTGGACAGAGAATGGAGCAGTGCAGCACAGGGAGGAGCAGCAACTTGCTGTTTGTTGAGCTGCAGAAATCCCTGGCTGAGCTAGAAGGAAGAGGCCAGGCTCCGGGACTGAAAGACAGTTAACCATCTGCAGATGCTGCTTTCTGGGTGCTCATATGGAGCATCTCATTACACATCAAAATCCAAAGAGCCAACTGCAGCTATAATCATTACCCAGCTAGTTTCTGAAGTGTGCTAAACCTAAAATGTTTTTCTCTTTGGCGATCTCTTCCTGATTAACCTGTTACATTTAAACTGTTCCTTAGTTCTATCTTAGTTTGGTCTGTGGAACCTACAGTTTACCTTCTGATACCTGTTGTTTTTCAGGACTGGTAGTAGAATGCCAACAAGAAAGATCACAGATAAGAAATAAAGAAATAGCTTTGAGCGTGCTGAGAGCTAGACTCTACCAGCAGATTATCGAGAAAAACAAGTGCCAGCAACACAGCACTAGAAAACTGCAGGTAAGATGGACTTGGGATAATAATTTAATGACTTTTTTCAAAAAGTCATTTTCTTTAGAGAATGTAGCATTTGTTCTTGCTTCAATGGGAAGGTTTTGGAGCATAGAGAAGCGTGCTCCTTCACGAATAAGCAGTAACTCAGTGCACATGGACTGATGGATAATGACTAAACCTGGGCATACCAGTTTGCAAATTAGTAAATTAAGATGTTGAAAAATTATTTCCTAGTTGTTTCCCTCTTAATGTTTGTATCATTACTGTCTTAAGAGGAAAATGCTTTAAAAGACAAAATAATTCTTTGAGAGTTAAGAACACTTTAAATTTTTGAAAATTAAAACCCATGCTTGTATTATAACTATGTGAGATAAATACAAATGACACTGCAAACAACTGGGAGCAGCGGCTGCAGCTGAAGGGGACAGCGGACAAGGGTAGAAAGGACATTTAGGTTTCTTTATGTATCATTTGGTACTTTCTGAATTTTATACGATATACATGGTATAGTGTTACTTATTCAAATAGATAGATGAATTCTAAGCAAAATTAATAAATGTCATTATTTTAAGTAAACAAAATATATAATTTACTTTTTTGTTTTTTTGAAACTGAGTCTCACTCTGTCACCAGGCTGGAGTACAGTGGCACTTTCCCTGCTCACTGCAACCTCCGCCTCCCAAGTTCAAGCGATTTTCCTGCCTCAGCCTCCCGAGTAGCTGGGACTACAGACGTGACCCATCACGCCCAGCTAATTTTTGTATTTTCAGTAGAGACAAGGTTTCACCATGTTGGCCAGGATGGTCTTGATCTCTTGACCTCGTGATCTGCCCACCTCTGCCTCCCAAAGTGCTGGGATTACAGGCATGAGCCACTGCTCCTAGACAAATTCTTTTTTTTTTTTTTAAGATGGAGTCTCATTCGGTCACTCAGGCTGTAGTGCAGTGGCATGATCTTGGCTCACTGCAGCCTCTGCCTCCCAGGGTCAAGCAATTCTTGTGCCTCAGCCTCACAAGTAGCTGGGACTACAGGCACTTGTCACCATACCAGGCTAATTTTTTGTGTTTTTGGTAGAGACGAGGTTTTACCATGTTGCCCAAGACAGGTGTCAAACTCCTGAGCTCAAGCCATCTGCCCACCTCAGGCTGGGATTGCAGGCATGAGCCACTGCACCCGGCCTATAATTTAAATTCTAAAAGAAGTAAAGTTTGTCACTGAGAGAGATTGGGAAAAAAAGTAGAACTCAGAAATAACTGATTTTTTGTTATTTGCCCATAGGTCTGCTACAGTAATTTTTTTTTTTTTGTCACCCAGGCTGGTGCTACCTCCTGGGTTCAAGCGATTCTTGTGCCTCAGCCTCCCGAGTAGCTGGGATTACAGGTGTGTGCCATCACACCTGGCTATGCTACAATAATTTAAATTTGGAAGGTTCTGTGGCCTTTTAGGATAATGAATTGTCTAAACCTAAGCATGACTTACGCTTTTCATCTAGACGTGTCCAGCTTTTTCACACTTTTGTGTTTCCAGCTCTCTTTACCTCCATGCTAACTTGCAGGTGGTAAAAGTGACAGGATACATAATAGTGACACTACTGGTGGTAATCCCAGGTTAGAGCATCATCGGTGCATTCACTTGCAGAGGGGAATGCTCATTTACAAACCACAGCTTATTTTTGTCTTTAACAAGCAAACAATATACCCTGAGTATCCACCATTACTTCATGGCAAATAAGTGATGGCATCAGTACTACAAACTCTGCCACATTTGAATTTTAAAAGGACATTTGGATTTATTTGCCGTTTAACATTTTGGCACCAGAGGTTCCACAAAGTAATAATTTTATTTTTATTTTTATTTTTTGAGACAGTTTCTCGCTCTGTCACCCAGGCTAGAGTAGGTTGGCATGATCTTGGCTCACTGCAGTCTCTGCCTCCCGGGTTCAAGTGATTCTTGTGCCTCAGCCTCCCAAGTGGCTGGGATTACAGACATGCACCCCCATGCCTGGCTCATTTTTGTATTTTTAGTAGAGATGGGATTTTACCATGTTGGCCAGGCTGGTGTCCAGTTCCTGGCCTCATGTGATCTGCTTACCTCAAACTCCTAAAGTGCTGGGATTTACAGGCATTAGCCCCTGCACGCAGCCCACAAAGTAATTTTTAAAATAGGTATTCAGGATTGGCTTTATGCAGATTGCTCATGTGTATCTTCTTCGGTAGTCTGATTGACCAGCCAAAAAAGACATCACTGCCTGTTGAATAACTTATCCACCTACCTGAAATTTTTTCATAGGGATTTCTAAGGCTTAGAAGTTTTTTCTGCAACCGATAGATACTCTTGGCTTTTATACATAAGGCATTATGCCAGATTCTCAACCCTGGCTCCACTGACCACCTAACGAGTTTCTGTAGATGCCCAGGCCCCACCCCAGAAATTCTGATGTAACTGATCTGGAGTGAGGTCTTGGCCGTTAATATGGTGGTTTGGGATAGTGGTTTCCAAGCCTGACTTGTCCAGAAGAGGTGATCTGGGAATGGTCTCAAAATACGTGATTCTAATCCATTATGTCTGAGGCTGGGCTTAGGAATCCATGATTTTAAAAAACTCTTCTAGTGGTCAGGAGTTTAGTTTCATGTCACTTGCCTTAGGGTTTAAGATGGTAAGTTATAGAAATATCTTTTTTTTTTTTTTTTTTTTTTGAGATGGAGTCTTGCTGTGTCTCCCAGGCTGGAGGGCAGTGGCGTGATCTCGGCTCACTGCAACCTCCACCTCCTGGGTTCAAGCAATTCTCCTGCCTCAGCCTCCCAAGTAGCTGGGACTACAGGTGCATGCCACCACGCCTGGCTAATTTTTTGTATTTTTAGTAGAGATGGGGTTGCACCGTGTTAGCCAGCATGGTCTCTATCTCCTGACCTCGTGATCTGCACGCCTCGGCCTCCCAAAGTGCTGGGATGACAGGCATGAGCCACTACGCCCGGCCAGAAATGTGTCCTTTTATTTTAATAAGTGAAAGCAGTTGAGGCAGGGTGTTGGGTATATCAGGGGTCAGGGAGGTGGAGGAGATGAGCAGACTAAGAAGAATGCAAGTAACTGCAGCATGATCTAAACTGTGTGTGCCATGGGGAAGATTCTAAGTACAGCGGGTTTCAGAGGAAGAACAGAACATATTTCACTTGCTGGGGCCAGAAAGGCAGAGATGGTAGGAGGGTGTTAGGGAAGGGCATCCCTTGAGATGCTGTTTTGTAGCAGAGATAACAGACACACACATGATACAGTCTTATTAGTGGCATTGTAGAGATTCACATAATTTTCAGAAATAACATTGCGAAGACTGGCCACGTTACAAAGTACCTTGCATGCTGAGTTGAGTTGTGTCTGCTCAGTAGACAAGAAGGAACCAAAGAAAATTTATCAGAAAACCATACTGTAGGAAGACAAAGTAAGTAGGGCAGCACAATGTGAGCAGAAAACTGGGAGATTAATCAGGAGGTTTTTGCAGAATTGTAGGTGAAAGTGATGAGTCCACGAGTGGTAACAGAAATGGAAAGGGCAGGATATAATCAGAGACCCAGGAAGCCAATTCGAAATGGGCAGTTAGAGAACGGGATGAATTGAAGATGGTCTCTCCCCCTGTATGCATCTGTATCAAAGCCTGGCATAGTAAACTCAACCCCACAAAATGTTTGACAAACTGCAGAACGTCAGAGTTTTCTAGGAATACATGGCGCTGTCATTTGTGGAAACCAGGAGGAAGAACTTATTGGAGTGGAAAGATGATTAATGTGATTTTAAATATTTGGAGTTTGAAATAGCAAAGAAACATTCCTTCTTATTCTATAACTGAGCTCTACAAACCTGTAGTATTAAACATTAAGTTCTGCCCATTCTTGTTCTTTGCCATTTTGTATCTATGACTTTTAGAACGAATCTAAATGGTTGAAATAGTCATTTACCAAGTGCTTTCTCCATTGTAATGAAGATATTTATAAAGGTGAAATGTAAATTGCTTTTTGTTGTGGCACAGGTGGGAACAGGAGCCCAGTCAGAGCGAATTCGGACATACAATTTCACCCAGGACAGAGTCACTGACCACAGGATAGCATATGAAGTTCGTGATATTAAGGTAATATTTGTGTACCTTTGATTTCAGAAGAAAATTAGTCAAATTCTAGAACCTACATGTAGATATTACCAAGTATATCTAAAATGTTACCAAGTAATTTAAATCATCAAGCCACCCTAAAATTTACAAACATTTTTATTAGTTTGCTGGTTAAAAAATTAATGATCTTTATGCCATTTTGAAACAATGATCTTTTCTAAATTCCAAATTCTTCATTATGCAATCACAATATATGAACATATATTCAGTCTGCATATATACATGTGTATTGGTTTTCTATTGCCGGGTAACAAATTACCAGAAATATAGCAATTAAAGCAGTACCTATGATTAAAGCATTATCTTGGCTTGGGTGCTGTGGCTCAAGCCTGAGGCGGGCAGATCATCTGAGGTCAGGAGTTCAAGACCAGCCTGACCAACATGGAGAAACCCCATCTGTACTAAAAATGCAAAATTAGCCAGGTATGGTGGCACATGCCTGTAATCCCAGCTACTCGGGAGGCTGAGGCAGGAGAATCACTTGAACCCAGGAGGCAGAGGTTGCGGTGAGCCAAGTTCCAGCTATTGCATTCCAGCCTGGGCAACAAGAGTGAAACTGCATCTCAAAAAAAAAGTATTATAATTTCTGTAGGTCAGAAATCCAGGCACAACTGAGCTTAGTTATCCTCTCAGGATCTCACAAGGCTGAAATCAAGGCCTGGCCAGGCTGCATACTCTTCTGGAGTTTGGAGCCCTCTTCCAAGGTTATGTGGTTGCCAGCAGAATGCCATTGTCGTGGATTGTAGGACTGAAGCCCCCATTCCTTTGCTGGCAGTCATCTAGAGGCTGCTTTTCACCACCTAAATACTGCTGAAAGTTGCTTCCCAGTGGCTCCCTCCAGAGACTTTCTCCCACTTTGAATCTCTTCTTGCAGGAATGGCTTGGGCCTCTTTAAGGGCTCACCTGTTTAGGTCAAGCTCACCTGGATAACGTTCGTTTTGATTCAAAGTCAACTGCTTAGCCACCTAGACACTAGAATGATACTCAGTCGTTTTCACAGGTTCTGTCTGCACTGAGAGGGAGTTATTCACGGTGTGTACACCAGGGGGCATCTTAGTATTCTCCCTACCACAAAGTGTCTTCATTAGATTGAGGTGTTACAGTTAGGCTGTTGGGGAAAAGACTCTGTCAAGATTGTTCAAACAGTCACCTACCTAAATAGCATCTAGCAGAGACCACTGTAATGATGAGGTGTGGAAAAATGTCTGTGTTGCCGCCTCTGAAGGAGGTGAACTGGTCCCATAAAGGACTGTGTGGAAAAGGCAGCAGGCAGAAAGCTTTGATCCTTTTCCTTGGTGCCATGTGATAGCTAAGGCTTCTTTACTCGACTCTGTCCCATTCCATACTCAAAATTAAAGTCCTGGTTTTACAAGGCCTGTGTTGTTCATATGTTTGTAAGTTTCTGTATGTTTTTCATGCTGTTTTTAATTCTGTTCCTTTTACTACTGTGGAATGTCTTCTTTCCTTCCAGTAGACCAGTTACTGCTTATTAGAGCTTATCAGTGTTTCCTTATTACTTCTGAGTTTTGCATGCTAGTTTGGTTAGTCATTTATTATTATTTAGGCCAAAGTCAGGTATTTTATATCTACAGAAGCCAGTTAGTTACCTTGCCTTTGTTTCTCAACCGAATACTACACTATGCACCTAAGGGCCCATCTGAAAGATATTACTGGTCACGAGAATGTGGCTGTCTCCCAGAAAATTGTCACTGCTACCAGAAAAACAACTGAAAGAACATGGTGTGATTAGAACAAACATGTCTGGTTAATACTGTACGTTTCCTGAGGAAAGGGAGCTTTGCACATATTTCCTCCTTTTCGACATGGCTACTATTTTCCTATGCAAGATAGCCATATCCTGCTGAGGAGAGAGCATACAGAATATTTACAACATAAAACGTACAGAAATTCTTGTCCTGGAATGGTTGGGGAAGGCTTCCTCTAAGCCACATCCAGAGGAGTTGGCAAAGAGCAGGATGCACATTAATGCACAAAATGCTTGTGGAACAAGATGCTAGAGGAATTGAGACCTGTCAGTCTTTTTCCTTTGGGAGATAACATGAGTGAAAAGGGTAGAATTTTCAGGACAAGAATTAAGCCATTTTTTTCGGGTACAATTCAGCAACAAACCAGTTCTCCCAGACATGGTTTGAGAGCCTGGAATGGATTTGTCATGAAAGCCAACCAATGGAATTTTAAAGAGAGGGAGGTGGTCAGTTTCAGAAGTCCATTTAGATCTCTTCACTTTGTTGTCTCCAGAGTTGTTAGAAAAATCCAAATTTCAGAAGATTTATTTTAAAATAAAATGCTAACTTAATTCTTACTGCAGAGCGGGGATCTTCCCAAGTTAGCAATCATGTTCATTATATTGTAGAATACCAGTAATCCTTTATTGTTATTAAATAATAACTGCAAAGAAATGAAATAAACATGAAAGTCTTTGCTTGTATTTCTAATCATCGGGTTTCATTATAGCTCTCTCTTTTGCCAGGAATTTGTATGTGGTGGGAAGGCCCTGGATCAGCTAATTCAGAGACTGCTTCAATCAGCAGATGAAGAAGCCATTGTTGAACTTTTGGATGAAAACCTTAAATCAGCAAAATAAATATTGACTTTTAATTTATGATTATATAAATGAAATGGACCTATATCAAGAGACAGACTGAAGCATGGAAATCTTTATGGATATTTATAAATTACAGCTATAAGAATACATTACGCATAAATATATATTTTTTAATGAATCAAAGTCACATTTCCTGACCTAACGATTTATTTTAGGTTTCTTGTAAAGTACAATCCAACTCCTCAAGTAGAAAACAAGCATGCATCATTGAAAAGAGAAATAAAGTATTGAGAATTGATTGTGTGATTTAGGACAGGTCACTTGTTCTCATTATATGTCTTTTTTCCCCCATCCATCTATGAATTAATTTAAATGTATTTTTCAGCTAGGCATGGTGGCTCACGCCTATAATCCCAGCACTTTGGGAGGCTGAGGCAGCAGATCATGAGGTCAGGAGTTTGAGACCAGCCTGGCCAACATGGTGAAACCTCATCTCTACTAAAAATACAAAAATTAGCCGGGCATGGTGGCATACGCTCATAATCCCAGCTACTCTGGAGGGTGAGGCAAGAGAATCGCTTGAACCCAGGAGGCAGAGGTTGTGGTGAGCAGAGAACATGCCATTGCACTCCAGCCTGGCAACAGAGCAAGACTATGTCTCAAAAAAATATATTTTTTTTATCTACTATTTCAGGAAAATATAGTAAAATTTAGTGATATATGATTTATATACTTACTGATAAACCCCTTATTTAAAGACAAAGTACTTTGGCCTACAGTGGTGGCTTATGGCTGTAATCCCAGTGCTTTGAAAGGCCAAAGGGGGATGATCTCTTGAGGCAAGAATTCAAGACCAGCTTGGGCAAAATAAACCTCATGTCTGTCTACAAAAAAAATTCAAAACATAATACTGTTAATCATGTTAAAGTCAAGACTTAGACTGCAACTTTTAAAGAAGATATATGAAGAATATGAGTCACTCTAACAGTGAGCATCTAGGTAGAGCCTGTAAAGCTCTTTGATTGCTATATGACTTTTATGCTGTACAAACAATATGCTAATATTTTAGCTAGACTCTCTGCTTCACTTCTATTTTTTTTTTTTTTCCTCCTGGCAAGCTGGAGTAAAAAGGTTATTGTTTGCTGGTTTAACTTAATAACCACTAACAGATGTGGTGTAATATGAGTTATACACTGAGATCAGTTTTGTGCAGCATTACATAAAATCCAGACCTTACCTTAAAGAGCTTACAGTTGACTGAATGATTTAAAAATGTAAATCACCCACTAATACAAAGTGGCATGATATATTTAGTAATTGTTCTGAAGAAGTTGGAAGTTAAAAATGAGGAATGGCCTGGCGCAGGGGCTCACACCTGTAATCCCAACCCTTTGGGAGGCTAAGGCAGGCAGATCACCTGAGGTCAGGAGTTCAAGACCAGCCTGGTCAGCATGGTGAAACTCCGTCTCTATAAAAATACAAAAATTAGCTGGACATGGTGGCACGTGCCTGTAGTCCCAACTACTTGGGAGGCTGAGGCAGGAGAATCACTTGAACCCAGGAGGTGGAGATTGCAGTGAGCTGAGATCATGCGATTGCATTCCAGCCTGGGTGACAGAGTGAGCCTTCATCTAAAAAAAAAAGAAAAATAAACAAAGAGAAATTATTATTTTAGATACTTCTCAGAGAATAATTTATATGCCAAGAAAGACTAGCTAGAGTTTGAAGGCCAGTGGAATTATTTGAATGTAAACATGAGAGAAATGTTTTCCCTAATTTTTATTTTGAAAATATTCAAGCATAAAGAAAAAAAAAAATTCAAGCATAATGAAAAGTCTTTAAAATAAATAAATTATTTAATCTTTTAGAGACAAGGTGTCATCCTGTTGCCCAGGCTGGTGTGCAGTGGCAAGATCATAGCTCACTGCGACCTTGAATTCCTGGGCTCAAGCAGTCCTCCCACCTTAGCCTCCAAAGTAGCTGGGACTGCAGGCATGCACCACCATGCCCAGATAATTATTTTTTTATTGTAGAGATGGGTTGTTGCTGTGTTACCCAGGCTGGTCTTGAACTCCTGGCCTTAGTGATCCTCCTGCCTCGGCCTTTTAAAGTAGTGGGATTACACATGTGAGCCTTTGTGCCCAGCCACAATAATTTTTAAGAAATAGTTCAATCAGGAGTGGGCTAAGCAAGATGGCTGAATATAAAAGCCTTCACCAATAATCCCCCAATGTAGGAACACTGATTTAACAACGTTATACACATGAAAAAAAGCAACTTCAAAAGAACCAGAAATCAGGTGAACCATCAGAGTACCTGGTTTTAACTTCATATCACTGGAAGAAGGTAGGAAAGATAGTCTTGAATTGGTAACACTGCCCCTCCCCCATTCCCCTAGCAGTAGCAGGTGTTGTGCCCTTGAGAGAGGGCAAGTACAGTGGTTGTGGGATCCTGCATTGAGCTCAGTGTTGCCCGGTCACAGCAGAGAGCAAAACTGAGTTAAACTCAGCAGATAGATGCCCATCCATCCACAGAAGGAGCATCTCGATCAGCCCTAGTCAGAGGGGAATTGCCCATCCCAGCGGTCAGAACCGGAATTTCAACAAGCCTCAGCTCTGTGGGCCAAAGTGTTCTAAGGTCCTAAATAAATCTGAAAAGCACTCTAGACCACAGGGACTGCAGTTCCTAGGTAAGTCCTTGTTCTGTGCTGAGTGCAGAGCCAGTGGACATGAGACACCAGTTGGGGTGGCTAAGGAAGTGCTTGTGCAACCCCTCCCACAACCCCAGGCAATGCGGCTCATAACAATGAAAGTGACTCCTTCCTTCTGCTTGAGGAGAGGAGAGGGAAGAGGAAGGATTTTGTTTTGCATCTTGGATACCAACTGAACCACAACAGGACAGGGCGCCTGGCAGAATTGTGAGGCCCCCATCCTAGGCCCGGGCTCCCAGACAGCATTTCTAGACACACCCTGGGCCAGAAGGGAACCCTCTGCCTAGAGGAAGTACCCCCTTGCAGGTTTCATCATCTGCTGACTAAGGAGCCCATGGGCCCTGAGTAACCAGCAGCAATGCACAGGCAGTATGCTGTGGGCCTTGGGGGAGACTCGGATGTGCCAGCTTCAGGTATCAGCTTGGCAACAGTGGTGTAGAGTGCCAACGGGCTCTTGGGGTCCCCAGGTCCAGACTCTTGGATAGCATTTCTGGACCTGCTCTGTGCCAGAGTTCACTACCCTGAAGGGTGAGTCCCAGGCCTGCCTGGCAACATTCACCACAGCTGGCTGAAGATCCCTTGGGCCTTAAGTGAACATTGGTGGTCTGACAGAACTCGCCATGGGTCAGTGGTGGCAGTGGCCATAGGGAGAGGCTCCTCTGCTTGTGGAAAGGGGAGGGAAGACTGGGAAGGATTTTGTCTCGTGGTTTGGGTGCCAGCCTAGTCGCAGGAGAGTAAGACCTATTTCTAAGGTGGTTACTCCAGTCCCTGGCTCCCAGATTGCATCTCTGGACCTGCCTGGGGCTGGGAGAACTCACCACCCTGAAGAGAAGGACACAAACCTGGTTGGCTTCAACATCTGCTTATTGTAGAGGCATAAGGCCTTGCACAAACATAGGCAGTAGCCAGGTGGTGGTTATAATGGGCTTTGGGCAAAACCCAGTGCTACGCTGGTTTCATGTCTGCCCCAGGGCAGTTCTACTTATGGTGGCCACATGGGTGTTTGCATCACCTCACCCCCAGTTCTAGGTGGCTCAGCACAGAGAGACTCTGTTTGGGAGAAAATAAGAGAACAAGAGTTTCTGCCTGGTAATCCAGAGAATTCTTCCTAATCTTATCCAAGACCACCAAGGTGGGACCTCTACTAGCCTGGAAGAACCTCGGCATTACTGAGCTTGGGGCCCTAGTCTTTGTGTATACCCGGAAATCCTTCTTAAGAAGGGCAGGCACAGATCGCAAAGACCAGAATAAATTCCTAACTCTATTGCCCAGACAAACATGCACAAGCATCAACACCAGCCAGGAAAACATCACTTCACCAAATGAACGACATAAGGCACCAGGGACCAATTCGGAAGAAACAGAGATGTGACCTTTCAGACAGAATTGAAAATAGCTGTTTTCAGGAAACTCAAAGAAATTGGCAATCACACTGAGAAGGATTTCGGAATTCTATGAGGTAAACTTAAAGAGATTGAAATAAATAAAAAGAATCAAGCAGAAATTCAAAAAATTCAACTGACATACTGAAGAATGCATCAGAGTCCGGTCCCTTAACAGCAGAACTGAACAAGCAGAAAGAATTAGTGAGAGTGATGACAGTCTGTTAGAAAATACACAGAGGAGCACTGTGGCTCACGCCTGTAATCCCAGCACTTTGGGAAACCGAGGTGGGTGGATCACCTCAGCCATCAGGAGTGTATGACCAGACTGACCAACATGGTGAAATCCTGTCTCTACTAAAAATACAAAAATTAGCTGGGTGTGGTGGTGCATGCCTGTAATCCCAGCTACTTGGGAGGCTGAGGCAAGAGAATCACTTGAACCCAGGAGACGGAGGTTGCGGTGAGCTGAGATCACACCACTGCACTCCAGCCTGAGCAACAAGAGTGAAAGTCCATCTCTCACACACACACAAAGAAAAAAAATACACATAGGAGAAGAAAAAAGAATCAGAAAGAATGAAGCACACCTACAAGATCTAGAAGATAGCCTGAAAATGGCAAATCTGTGATTGGCCTTAAGGAGGAGGTAGAGAAAGAGATTGGGTAGAAAATTTCTTCAAACGGATATCACAGAACTTCCCAAACGTAAAGGAAGATATCAATATTCACGTGCAAAAAGGCTGTAGAACGACATGCCAATCTAACCCAAAGAAGACTACTCAAGACATTCATCAAACTTCCAAAGCTCAAGGATAAAGAAAGGATCCTAATAGCAGCAAGAGAAAAGAAACAACATACAATGGAGCTCCAGGACGTCTGGAAGCAGACTTCCAGTGGAAACTTTACAGACCAGAGAGAGAGAGAGTGGCATGACATATATAAAGTGCTGAAGGAAAAAACTTTAACTCTAGAATAGTAAATCCAGCAAAAATATCCTTTAAGCATGAAGGAAAAATAAAGACAGAAAAAGCTGAGGGATTTCATCAACACCAGACCTGTCTTAAAAAAAAAAAAAAAAAAAAGAAAAGCTAAAGGGAGTCCTTCAATCTGAAAGAAAAGGAGGAGGTTAATGAGCAATCAGAAATCATCTGAGGATATAAATCTCACTTGTAATAGGAAGCACATAGGAAAACACAGAAATTATAAAA